AGGAACTTTGAGAACTTGTCTGTCTCGGAGTTTTTGAATGGAGTTGAGTTTTTCTGGAACGCTGACAGAATGCTCTTCCATGGGCTGAGCGTGAAAGTTCTGTTCTCACATAGTTTAGAGGTTTCAGAGGAGAAATGACAACACACTCCTCTCACATGACCTCCACATAAAAGCACACCTCATTCGTTTCAGCCTCCACAGATAAGTTCAAATAGAAATGGAAAAAACACAGATAAGAAATGGCAGAGAAAGCATCTAAGGAAAGAGACACTGACTCTTTCCTTCCTTGGAGCAGGACAAGGCCAGATCCTTTCCTTCTCCCTCCCAGGAGACAATATTTGATTAGTGTTTTTTTTAATAAAAAACTAACTATAATCTCTCTTCTTGATTGGGGACTAGAAAAATCTTACCCAGAGAGACCACGTTCCTATGGTTTTCAAGCATGACTTCCGAATGCAGCGCTTTCTGGTCAGGATCCAGCTGAGACCATTCCTCCTCAGAGAAATACACAGCCACCTCCTCGAAGGACACAAGACCCTCCTGGACACGGAAAAAAGAACAGAACAGGAGGATTCGCAAGATTTGTTCATCTTCATCACTGATTTAGACAAGAGGATAGAAGGGGAACTCATCAAATTTGCACACAAGACTAGACTGACAGGAATACCAACACTCCAGAAGATAAGCTCGAGATATAGAAGGATCGACAGATTGGGCCCCATCTAATAAAACAAAATCAACAGTGAGAAATGTAAGGTTCTACATTTAGGAAACAAAAACCAAATGTACTGGCATACAATAGCGATACCTGGCTGAACAGCAATAAGTGCAACAGGGATCTTGGAGTCCTAGTGGACAACCACTTAAATGTGAGTCAGCATATTATGCTACAATTGACAAAAAAAAACAAAAAAAAACCCAACAGAATCTCCTAATCGAGGCGCAAATCAGAGGATTGGAAATTATTTTGTAGCCCAAAGTACCACGATTACATGCTCAACATGGCCACAACGTTTGGATTTTAATAGTCTGCTTTATTTTTTAGTATGATTTCCTTATTTTTGAACTACAGGTTATAAATAAGGCTTTTAAAAAATGCTAACGTAGCAATGTATTTATTTATTGTTTTCATCAGCCTTGCACAATTTTGAGTCAAAGAATTACCAAAAAAGGGGGGTCTCTAGCAATTCCTGCCACTGTGATACATGTATTCCTATTTCTTGAAGGACTTTTAAAAAATTGCTTCTTGTAAACTACAAGTTGGAGGAGAACCTAGCAGAACAAGACAACCAGAGGAAGCTATGCTGGCTGACAGCAACTTGAACCTGCTATTCTGCTCTCCATGTTGTGGAAGAACCCAAAAATAATCCAGGCCAAACAAGAGGAGGAAAACAGGAGAGAGCACTCTACACACGCGCTTCACTTCCTGAAGGGAGAATACAAATCTAACCTCTTTTCCCTTTCTTACTTGATTTGGAGGTTCAACAGCTGTTTGATCTCCCTCATAAAAACCAGAAATCTTCATTCTTTGTTTCTCTGTAAAGAATAAATAATTTCAAAATGCATAATTAGCAAAATAGGAGGAGGTATTCTATAGGAGAGAAGTGAGAGCAAAGGGAAGACAGATGGGGGATCTGAGGATCTTCCATTACCTCCTGAGGGGTCCTGTCTTGGATCTTCCCAAGGGATCTTCCTGAAAAATAGCTCCCGAGGGGGATTTGATGGGTTCTTCTTTCCCTCAGGATCTCTGATCTCCACACTGCAGCACTTCAAATAGGAGGAAGGAAAAAAGAAGCAGAATTAATATACGTCACAAGACACAAAGTGGATTCTTCTATTCGGAACACAACTTCAAAGCCCCCAATATCCATCCGTGTGGCTGAGTGAGAAAACAGTGGAACAACGTCCTACCAGAACTGGAGAATTGCTTCATATTATGAACGTGGGAGAAGTTTGGGAAGGAGGGGTGAAG